GTGATGTATCCTCATTTTTTTCAGCCTGTTTGGCTTTGGTGTCCCCAGTTGGCAGATGCCAGATGCTGTGTGAGCCTGCCCAAGACGCGGTACGTGCTGGTGTAGCAGGCTCAAGCCTTGCGCCGGCATAGCTGACATCTGTAAGGGAAGGCAACTTTGCAAGTGTAGACCAGCCAAAGAAAACGTATCCTTGTCCTTGGGAAGGCTTTTTTTTTTCCTCATTGGGATATTTCTAGCCAGAGTCAAGGATTTTTTTTTTTATTTATTTTTTTAAAACACTCGTAGGGGAGCAAGGGCTGCAAGCAGCAAGGGGCAGCAGCTGCCAGCCAGTTTCCGAGGAGACAGAGATATCCCCGTGGCCATTTTGGCCAGTGGGCCACATGCCAGGACAGCAGGCCGCTGGGGGGACTCAGCTGGGCGAGGGGCAGTGGGGCTGTCCCTTCCAGTGGTCCCGTCCCCCCACCGCGGGGCTGAACCCCAATTTGAGCCTGGTTGGTGCCGCCTGCGGAGGCACTGGCAGAGCTCTGAAGTTTAGCTGATTTTAATAGGAAATGCTTGCTTCGCTGAGGCGTGGGATGCAGCTGCCTGCCTGCCCTGGAGCTGCCACGTGGGTCTGGGGGCTGGAGCGACCCCTGCTCCACAGCCCGGGGTGAGGGGACTTGCCCCCGCGTTTTCCAGGGTGGAGCTGGTTGTGTTTTTCCCAGCCAGGGCAGACTTGGTGTGGCTGACAGGCCCTTCCCTTTTCTGCTGGGCCCCTGCAAAGAGAGGTGATTGGGTTTTTTTTTTGCCCTGTCTGTGAGTTCTGCTTCTCTTTTCCAGCTTTCCTTTCGCATGAGGTTTGTCTAAGCATGGCAGCGCGAGTGTGCACGTGGCTCGGCAGCTAGAGAGCAGCACCCGGCTCTCGGCCAGGGCAGTGGAAATGTTCTTTTCTTCTCTGTTTGGGGAGAGGTTTTTTCCAACCTCTGTGCTATGTGCTTTTGCTTTCATTCTCACTAAATCAAATATCTGAGATTTGCGCCTGGCTGAGAACGTGCAGGTGAATTTTGCCGTTTTTCCCAGTGAAGTGCTTGGGAGGGCAATTCAGTCTGCTGGATCACCTCTGCAAAGTTGCCCGTGAGCTTAGCTGCCCTTCTTTGCATCTCCTTCTGCTGGGGCTGCACCGCCCTCCTGGGGAAGGGGTTTCCCCCACCCCTTCCCACCTGAACGCCCCGGGACTGCCCTTTGTGGCTGCTGCCCTATGTGGTACCACCTGCTACCACCTTCTTGGGTGGCGCGTGGTGCCATCCCCTTTGCAGACCCCCTGGGGATGGGAGAGTACAATTCTGGCTCTGTGGGGCATTGCTGCTTGAGTTTTCCCAACACTTCTAGTATCTGTGGACCAGGGAGGCTGGAGCGGCCCTAGATGTATTATGGCATCAGGCTGAGTGGATTCTGGGCTTTTTGTGTGAGGGTCCTCTCATCTGGGTCAGCAGGGTGAGCACTGGGAAGGACGTGTGCTGGCAGCCTCAGACGGCAAGAGGCTTAGCTGTTGTGGCAAGCGTGGCCATTGGGAAGTGGGGGCCGAGAGGGTCACTGGGGCCGTGGGCCGGTGTCCCGAGGCGAGTGCTGCGCTGCCTCTGGCTTTTTGCAAGCCTCACCTTTTTCTTCGCGAGAGAAGCTGCTTCCTGTTTGTGCGCACCACGACGGCCCCGGTATCTGTGCCTGCACAGTGCTTTCCTGTGCACCTTCCCTTTGAGCAGAAGTGCTTCTGAGCGTCAGAGACGGGGGGCGGGAGGGGGGCGGCTTTTTTTTGGTGTGTGTCTCTCTTACCCTACCGCTGCCAGCTAAAACTTCCCTTTACAATCTCCGAAGTGTTTGGATGTGATGTCGTGCTTTTGTGTCTTTTGCAAGCTTCCGGTGGTTGCTTATTCATGTTTTCGAGGTTTTTCTTCTGCTAAAAATGTACGGTGGAGGCTCGTGGAGCTGCTCTGTTGGAGCTTTTAACTCTCAACGCAAAAGGCATCTGCCTACAAATCCCGGGCCGTATGGGTGACTGGAGTTGCAAGTCCAGATAGCTGTCATGCCTGTCTGTTTTTAGCAGGGGCTCAATATATGGTGGCTCCTATGTCAGCCAGTCACCTTGAACAGAAGCGGAAACGATTGAGATGGAGTGAACCGGGCTGGAAAGTTTACCGAGTAAACACAGACAGGGATACAGTTTTGGTCGGTGGGACAGCACTCGCAGCAAACTTTGCACGCTTTCTTGGCATCGCCAGGTCATGTGAGTCAGCATCCTTGGGCGACAACAGCCTTGGGGCTGGTTGCTGTCCAGGTAGTCAAATTTTGGTCAAAATGATTTAAAATTAGCAACTAGAACTGTGACTCTGGTCACCGGTTGGAAAGCCTCTGTTTGCAGATTTGGCTTTAGCCTTGTACTGCTTGGGAAGAGAACTGAAAGTGTGGATTTGCAGCGAGTGGTATGTTGCTGTTGCTTTTTGTCAGCCACGTGGCTTTACGAAGTCTAGTTTGTTTTAGCTGTTCTGTATTTGAAAACAGCCTATTCAGGTTTTTTTACATTTTCGTATTCTTACTGACACCAGTGAACGTATTAACTGGGAGATTTGTGTCAAGCCTGTCTCAGAAGCGGCTGCCTTGCTGTACATGTGGAGCGCCGGTGCCTGGGGTCTTCTCACTGACCTGCATGTTGGCTGCATCCTTCGGGGCAGCATTTGCGAGAAGGTGTGCTGCCTTTAAAACTCTTTTGATTAACTGAAGATCGGAGCAGTACAGATCCTTTCTCACCAGTGTCCTTCAAGACTCTGGAACTGTTAAATCTCCATCTTCCGCAGCCGGTTTTTATCATGGATGTGTTTTCCTCTCCCATCTTCTCTTTGCTGGTGTTCCAGAAGCCTCCTGAAGGCAAGCAAGAGCAAGCGCTGGCAGGATGAGCGGTCTGCGTTTGGCCCTGGGGGTTGGCGGGTGCCAGCCTGCAAAAAGCGCCCTGCTCGCAGTGTCCAAACGCTGTGGCTGTCCTTGCCCAGCTGGAGCTCACAAGCCGCCAGCGGGAGATTTCCCCTGTAAATTCGCCTCAACGGCAAACCGTTTCCTCCCCCCTTATGCTGTGCCGAGTGAGTGCGAGACATTTAAAAGAGCCTTTGATTCGTTAAACCAGAAAGCACCCCCCGGGCTGACGGGGCTCACGGTTCTTTCTCGGGAGCGGCAGCCGGGAGCAGAGAGGGAGCAGCCCGTCCTGGCAGGAAGGGGCTTGCTCGGTGGGATGGCAGCCGCCCGGCGCCTGGCCCCACGAAGGGATGCGTGGCTTCCGCCCCGCTGCTTCCTGCGGTGTCCTGCCGGGCCGGTCCCACTGCTGGCGGCGGGGCGCGAGCGAAGCAGGAAAGTAACGTCCCTGGGCGCAGATGCCCGACGTAGTCCCGTTTGCTGGCCGTGGGCGGATAGGTGAACCTTGCCCAGTGCAATTCCCTTCGCTGACGCACAAAAGTGTAGCATCATCCTAACTGTCAGCGCTGGTCTTCCCAAGGAGGTGGTGCTGGGGGGGAGGGGGGGGGCAGGGGGAAGCAGGCAGGGAGGTGGGTGGAGGCCAGAAGCTGTTCTGGGAGACCGCTTGCCACCACGGCGGGGAGGCAGTGCCCGAATTTGGAGGAAACGATGCGCTCTCTCCCCCTCCTGCCCCTGCTGGCCTTGCTGCTGTGGTGCTTGCCCCCTGCCTGTCCCACTGGCATGGGGGGTGGCTGTGCCTGGCCCCCCGATCCTGCCACCGCTGGGCTCCGGTCCCCAGTCATGCCACTGCGTGTTCCTTCCTGCCCCAGTTCCTCTCATTCTTGCCTCTTCCTCCCCCTGCAGAGCACTCTCCGAGCGCTCCCTGCAAGCCGCTTTTCGACGGGAGAGGCTTTGGCCCTGGCCGTGCAGGGCAGGCATCCCCAGGAGCCAGCTTGCTCCGAGGGGCAGAGAGGATGGGGAACCGGGCAGGCACATCGGGGGCGCAGCTGGGAACCAGGGGAGCGCTGAGAGCGGGGGCAGACTGATCCTGGTGCCTGGAGCCTGAGAAATAGCTGCTTCCTCCTGGTGTGAGAGGGAAACGTGCAAACTTGCCCATTTAACTTGTGCAAAATGTAGAGACCGGGAGACCCCTTTGCGTCCTGCCAGTGACGCCGGTTTCTGCAAGGTCTTGCCTCTGCTGTGCAGGCAGTGAATCAGGCGGCAAAGCTTCCTCGCTGCCTCCGGGGGTACACTGAGCAGCACCTCTGCCTGTTTGGCTGGTCTCCTTCTTGACATCTCCAGCCTGAGTGAGCGCAGGTTTGTGGAGCAGCACAACTGAACTAGCTGAAGTAGCTTCTTCCAGATAAATAACCAGGGAATGAGCCGTGAGCCTGGAGCATTATTTATGCTTTTTTAGTAGTCACATGTTGGGGTATGCTCAAGGTTGGTTTGACGGCCACCGCCTTTTAGTGCTCTAAAAATCACTTGCGCCCCTTCTCAAGGGGCTCCATAAGTGCAGTGTACATCTCTTCAGCAAATGCGAAGAGGAGACAGTAGCTCTAAGACACGTGTGCGAGTGTGTGCACGCACGCACGTGTGTGCGTTCACACCCAGATGGAGGAGAGGGGAAGGGTACAGCAGCCAAATCTTTTAAGGAGTGATCCCCAGCCTAGTGTTATGGTGAAGACCTTCTGCTTTATGCGTGGGAGCCTCAGCATCCCGCCCCATTGCAGAGGTTTTAGTGGGAGCCGAGTGTGCCTGCAAAGCCCAATTTATTAGACTGCCATTGCTGGGAGCAGGACGTGGCAGCAAGAGAGGTCCTTCTGCAGGCAGCTGCCGTGCTCTTTAGGTTTCTGCAGCAGATCCGTTCCTCAGGGCTGGAGCAGCTGGAAGCAAATACTGCAGAAAGGCCAGCCTGGATGTTCAGAGAGGGCATCCACAAAAGGGCTGTGGTCAGCAAGGCCATGTTGAGTGCTGGACCCACGTACAGCTGCATGGGAGGGACTGACTGCTTCAGAGCCAGCATGGCAGAGCAGAGAAGCCCTGGCAAGCAAAGAGCACTCATGCAGACGCATGAGCCGAAGTCTTGCAAAGTAGGTCTTATTGGCTCTATCGGTGCCCGGGGCTGTCACTGCCTTCTCTCCCTGTGCTCGGCAGGCTGCCATCCTCTCTGTGGTGCTGGGGGGGGCTTCTCAGTTTTACACACCAGTTGTGGCATAGATTATATTGGTGGTTTCAAAACCTGCCGCTGTTGAAACCATACGCAGGAATTGCCAACCTGTATGCAAATCTGGATACGTTTTTTTTAGCAGTTCTAATACAGGACTTTTAATAAATAATGGGCATGCCTACAGAACACGGAAAGGATCTATAGGAAAAAAACAACAAGAAGGGGGGTTTTGTTCACTTTGCATGTGGCTAGCCTTGGCGTAAGTAATTACGTTGGTAGGAGAGCAGGACTATTTTTGAAGTGCTCAACTCTCACGCTGTGTGAGGTGGGTGAGAGCACAGAGGGCAACACTCTTCTCTAGTCTGGTTTTGTGGCACACGTGCCAGTGGGAGCGCAGCTGTTGGTTTGCCATGCGGATAGGAGGATTTTCAAGACTCGTTTGGCGTCAGCGACTTGGTTGGGATCTGACACCAAAAGGCTACAGCATTTGCAGGTTGCTCTGAATGGTGTTGTGCGGTTGCTTTCGGTACAGGTGGGATTTGGGTGTACCACTGGGATTTTGTTTGGATCCAAACCTGTTTTAAAAACCAAAACAAATGTGTGTAAAGGAGGTATGCTCAGAGAAATAGGTGGTGTGTGCTAACTCACTTTGTGCTGTGCATCTCTTCCAGTTGGTGCACTACATGTGGAGTTTTCCCAGCCTGTGAACCTGGAAGAAGTGGCGAGAATAAACCCAGAAGTCAAAGCAGGAGGTCGTTTTGCTCCGAAGGACTGTATAGCACTTCAGAAAGTAGCAATAATCATACCATTCAGGAACCGAGAAGAGCACCTGAAGTACTGGCTCTATTACCTGCATCCAGTTCTCCAAAGGCAGCAACTAGATTATGGAGTGTATGTTATCAACCAGGTAAGATGCTAAAGACACAGGGCTTTATACCACTCTCATAACAGTGCTTGTGCCCCCTAAAACAGAGGATTGGTTGCTTTACCCTGAACAGCAGTGGGCTGGCAGGCAGGCATAAGGTTGCTTTTTAAAAAAACCCAAATGCTGTAGTGCCAAAAAAAAAGTGAAAATGAACATGAGCAATTTTGCTTCGATGATTTTGATGGACAACCTGAGGTCCCTTCTTCTGATCAGGCACAATTCACTCTAAAGAGCTTCTGCTTAAAGAAACCACTTGGTGAGGAGGGAAAAAATCCTAATAGCACAACCCAATCTAATATCTCTTTCCAAATGTTCCTTTTCCCATCTGCTGCAGGAGTTGCATACAGAGATCTTTAAGGTGACAAGGTAGTGTTAATGCCTAATCTGGCATTGGGTGTGCCATAAAGCTGTAGGATTTTGTTTACTTTCTCGAGCAACTTCTGTTCATGTTAGTAATAGTGCACAAAGTGTCAGGATGGAGAAAGCAAAGCGGTGGCAGTGGAACAGGTGAGTGATAGTCTTCAGGTGAATAGAAAAGAAAAGAAACAAGTAGTGATGGGAGGGAGTTCTTGGTTTTATTCCTCGATATCTGATGGCCTTACACCTGTCTTTAAAAAAAAAAGAAAAAAAGGCGTGTTTCACTCAGAACAAGCTGTCTTAATTTATACCATAATGGTGGTTAAATAAGTGGGTGGTGTTCACACTTGGAAAAGCTTAAAATGTGTAGGCATTTGCATGGGCTGTAGCGTGAAAGGGCAGATGCAGTTCTGAGAGCTCCAGCAGAGACCGCTGGCTGGACAATTTCACAGCACAGTTTCTCTTTAGGATATGTATTTATATCCTGTTTTCTCAGCTCTGTAAAAACTGAGATGAAATAACATGCTTCTTTAAATGCAACTCCTTAAATTTGCGGATCAGCTGATGCGTTTGGGCATATCGAACACCATGAATATTTAAAATGGTCGCCCAAGTGATAAGTTTCCTCACAGAATTGAAAGCACATTTCCTCACGAACTGAATCTACTATTTCTCTTACTTTGCTCACTTCCAGGGTGGCAGAGCTCTGGGCAAAAGTGATTTGTGGGGAATTAGCAGTAGCTCCCAAGCACAGCAGCCAAGATGCTCCAGTGTCTGCAGCTGACTGCTTGTGGCCCGGCTGGCCGCGTTGCTGAGGGTGCAAGGTATTTCTGCAGCATGCAGACTGGCACACTGTGCCCTAAAATTAAGCCCTGTAAGGAGACCCTTCCTGTGTAATTCAGAGAGCAGCTGGTGCCATGGCGGTCCAGCAACACAGGGCAGCCCCAGCCCTTCGTCCTTCAGGCTGCATTTCCTTGCACGTGCAATGTTTGCCTGTGCAAGTTACTGGTGCCACAAGGTTGCCTGAGCCACGGTGCCCACCGGTCACTGGGGTGCAGGTGGGTGAAGGTGGTGGGGCGGCATGCCTCCCTTCTCTGAGCGTGGCTCAGAAGCAAGGGTGCGATGCGGCTTCCAGCAGCGGTCCTGCAGCGGGGGCTGCTGCTCTCCCGGCCAGGCGTAGCTCACCAGCCGGCTCTGCAGAGGACCGGGGGCACCGCTTGTGGGCGAGCGGCCGTCTCCATTGCAAAGAGCCGGGGGTGCAGCTGCGGCTGATATTTCCCTGTCAGTGGTGTTCAAGGGTAAGGAAAGTGAGGGGGAGCTGCGCCGGCACACATAAAGGCAGCCAGCACCCGAAGCCTGGTTGGAGTTCCCGCTGCTGCTGCGATGGCGCATGCTGGCTTGCATTGCCCTGCGTTGCTGGCTCCTCCTCTTCTCTGGTCCTGTCCTCCAGCGCTAGGGCTTTGGGACTGTCTGTGTGCTCTAAAGTTAAACCTCGCAAAAATTACGGAAGCAAATGTTTTTTTCAGACGCATCCCTTGAGCAAAGTTGGAGTGGGAGTGACATGCAGTACACAGAGTATATATGTCCTGGACACATCCAGCAGTTAGATGTAGGTTAGCAAGTAAGGCTACTTGATTTGTAAAACAAACACGCTCCTTCAACATGCCTCTAGCAAGCTGTGTCTGGAAGAGGCAGAGTGGTCAGTGGTAGTAAACCGACTGGATGCATCTCTCAAGGGTGAGTGGGAATATTGTATAAAGAGCGCTGCAGAAAATGTATTAATTCTGCCAGAAGTGCAGTAGGAAAACGGTCTTATTTCTCTGCTGTCTTGACAATTGCTTTTCTCTTTTTCTTGTCTGTCCTTCCCTTTGCATCCGCCCTCCTTTTTTTTTTTATTTTATTTTTCCTTCTAGTGGGGAAATATTACCTTTACTTGTTAATCCTGTCTATATCAAAGCAATCACTGAAGCAAGGAGAATTACTGTGTGATCTGGTTCTTACACGCTGCCTACGTGCTCTTCTGTGCTCTGCATCTCATAGAAAGAAAGAGGAGTGCTGAGGCCTGCTACTGCTGCACTGGTAATGTCAAACTTCTTCCTTTCAGCGCATTGTGTTTCCGTCACGAGTCCGTTGTGTCTCCACCATGCTGTTCTTGCGTGCCTGAATGCCTCAGAGTAGGACTTGGTTGAAGTCAGGGGGATGATGTTTGTAAAATGTCTGGTGTGTAACAGGAGCCAGTGGAAAATACAAATTATGCTTCACCCTCCGTACTCCACCCCCAGGAAAACCTCAAGCCAACGCATGGAGTAGCAGTTATAGGATCTTTCAGGTAAATCTGAGATGAGGACAGGCGGCTGGGCGTGCTTTTGTAGCACCCATTCGATGCCATGCGAGCTTGACTTCAGCAAGTGAGAAGGCAGCGGTGAATTGGTGGCATCTCTCTCAGCCCCGCTCAATCCCACTGTTACCGATGTGCTCTCCAGTGCCTTCAGCTGTTGCCACCTGTGCACTCAGGTCAAGAAATGAGTTTTCTTGCTGCAGTTCAGCCTGTGCAAATGCCCATGCAGCCAGACTGAAGTTTGGGAAAGGGGGATACTTAGCAAATTCACTGAAAACCACGCAGTTGTTCAACTGTTTTCCACTGGCCCCTGGCGTTACCTGCAATGTTCTCAGTAGCAATTTTCCAGAGTGTGTGTGTGTGTGCGTGTGAGTATGGAGTGTTTGGGGCATTGCACTTACTCATGTTATTTTGCAGGGGGTATTGGGACCCCCCAGGTATGCAGGCAAAGGAGGGAATTGTGCTTGGCTCCTGCTTACCCGTGCAGTGATGAGGGAGGTGAGTTTCCCTTGTGGTTGCTCTCTCCTGCTGTGCAATGTAATGGTGCTGAGGCACCTGCTGACACAGAAACAGCAGAGTGTCTCCTGGTTTCTCTGTATGGCCCTGGAAATCTGTTTTGACCTGCCCAAGTCCACTGGAGTGTGGACTTTCACATGGATGTTGTGTGTGTGGTTCAGGCTGTCTTGGCGGATCCCTGACTTAGCTAGCAACCTGCCGTTGGAGGTGATGGCTCTCTCCTAGCCAGCCAGAAACATGTATCCTCACCACTACCTCCCTGAGACCTGGCGAGTTTAGGATCCAGGTGAGAGAGATGCAGCCACAGGTCCTCTGCACTGCTGTGCTGTCTGCAGGAAGAATCACAGAGCTGCCTCCTACATGGAGGTTGCAGGGCAGGACAAAATGGGGACAGATGGCTTCTTGCTGGTTTGCAAGCCCTTTAGCTTGAGTGACAGTTCCAAAACCCTCATTGTTATCTGTCTGGCACTGTAAAAAGATAGCATCCTTTGGTAGGTCTGGCTGAGCAAACCAGATTCAGCAAAGGTAAGGGATGGGAAGCAAAAAAAGCTTGGATGTTCTTTTGCTCAGGCTGATCATCTCCAGGTGCAAGAAGGAGTTGGTGTCAGACCTTGCAGGACTCAGGCACCATGTTGTCCCCCTTCAGCCAGTCTCTTCTGGACCAGGGAATGGGGATGGACTTGGACGTGCTGGCAGAGAAAGAGTAAAATCAGGAGCCAGAAACAGGTGCTGGACGCCAGCACTGAACTCAGACATGGGTTAAATTTCAGGACAAGAAAACATAGGGGAAAAAATTGTCAGGAAAAACCAGCAAAACGATACTTGGACTACACCTTTTCTGGTTGAAAGCCTAGGAAATAAGCATGGAGATACGTCTAGAGCTTGGCTGTATTGTCAAAGCAGCAGTCCCCCGTGTGCTGCCTAGCTCTTGATGCTCCCCTGTCCAAGCAAGTCCAAACTGATCCATTTCCTTGTGGCAAATAACAGGGAGCCTCCACGGGATGAGGAGCTGCCAAGCAGAGGCAAGGGCTGGAGGTTTCTTCAGTTCTGCTTTATCTGCTCTCTCAAGGGTTGTGTGTGGTACTGTGCCCTGTGCTGACCTGGAAGGGACAGCAGCACAGAAAGGAGATTTCCCAAGTCTACCTTATTATTTTTTTTTCTTCAAAATGTTGGGGATCAGTCAAAGATGGAAGCCTGCAGCACATTTCTGAGTTTTGAGAGATTTGAATCTCGGATACTGCAAGCACACCTGTGCTTCCACATTGCCTTAGGTAAAGAAACAGAGCTTTCTGCAAAAAGCAAACCCTCTTTTCAGTCTTTTTTTTGCTCCAATACATGCTGTAAAGCCTTGCATACCTCCTGGGACAGAAAACTAGCCTCCTGCCCTCAAAGGAGTTGCAATTGATAACAGCATTGCAGAGTTTGCTGCATGAGCTACCTGCTCGCTGTAAAGTTAATAAAAAACAGCTTGTAGAGGGGTTTCCAGTTGTGATTCCAACCCCCCATCCCAGACTTTTGGATCCCAGTGTGAAGCTGTGTGGCCATTTGGGAGGAGAGCGTCAGCGCCCGTGTGCAGTGTTTGCTGTGTGTCTGGTCCCTCTCCATGCCTGGGGCTCTGGCGTGGGCTCTGCCAGGGTCTGGTGGGTGAGGCGGCAGGAGGGGTCCCCTGCACTCTTGGTCTGGTCAGTGCACTGTGCTTTGTGTTTTTTCAGGCAGAGGTTTAAAAATGCAGCTCCTTGTAGCATTGTTCATCCCTAAGTGTCACCCAGAGGAGTTAGAGGCTACCTAAAGGCGTAGGTTGATTATGGCTGAGTCTCCCGGTCACAAAATCAGTGTGAAGTGCCCTTTGCCCTGAAATTTCATTATGAAAAGAGCAGTCAAAGGGTGTGAAATGAGGACACTCTTCCTAGACTGGACCCAGTAGGTGCTTTAAGGTGTGAGTACGTTGCACTTTGCACCAGCACTGGGAAAAGTCCCCCTTGGGACTATGGAGTCAGGCCCGGGTTTGGTGCCGTGGGACCTGAGGAGCACTTGGCAGCTGGGGCTGGGCAGCCGCCTTTGCTGGGGGAAGAAAACCCTCCAATCCCACAGCCTCAGCCTCTCCCTCTCCCCAGCCTCTTTGTTAGACTTGCCCTCATTTTCTGCACTCAAGTTTTCACTGCTCTTGCTTATGCATGATGGTGATCATCTTCCCACTACCTTAGTTACTGGGTGAACCCTTTTGTTTTGGGCGAGGATGCTGAGAATTTGCTCAGATCCTCCTCCACAAAAGCTCACTCCTCCCTGTGAAGTAATTTATGCCCAAGGCAGGTGATGAATGCTTTTGAAAACCTTGGTTTGACACTCGCATGTTAAAACCTTCATTTGAAAGATATTTGGGGCTGTTTCAGGAACCTCCGTTAGCTCTCCAGCCACAGGTCCATTAACCACTCTGGATTGAACAGTTTCCCAACGGATTATTTCTTAACCAGGCAAAGCCGTTTGGGAGAAGGTGATGGATGTTTTAAGCTGCTGCTCCTTGGGCACGGTATTCTGTCTGTCCCTGATTTGCGTCCCATGCAGGGTGCAGGTACTGCAGGGTGGGGGGATGGCTTGCATGGTGGGGGAGTCCTTTGGCTGGACACTGCCCAGAGGGTGTGGAGGGGGAAAGGTGGGGTGTGGTAGAAGAGAAAGGATTTGGCAGTCTTGGGTTCCAGGCTGGCAAAAAACTTCAGCCTCCTTCAGCAATGCCCTGTTGAGTTCCGTTCCGCCTGCTCTGTTCCCCTGCACAGGGTTTGGGTTTGAAGCTGCTGCTGCAAAGTTGGGTCCTGGACTGGAAATCCTTACTCTCAAACCACTGGTATTTTTGGGTTTGTGGGCGTGATGCTGTTGTTTTTTGAAAGTACTCGAGCAATTTGCGAGCCCATACTTGTGCTCAAAGCCACGTGTGCTTTTGAAACGTTTCTGCCTGAGAGAGGCCAGACTGATTCTCCTTGGGCGCCTGGTTGCTCAGGGAGGAGAGCCGAGATTTTCCTCCCCTGCTCTCTGCAGGTCCTTTTGTTAACTGCGCCTGCCCCGGGATAAACATGCCCTGCCATGGTGTCAGCTCTTTTCAGGTCCTTCCCATCATGGTGACAGCCCTCCCGGTTTCGTTTTCCTGGCGAGGCCCCCGGGACAGATGGCGGGTCATGCCATAATCCGGCTGGCAGAGGAGCAGCAAAGAAGGGGCTGTGCACTGCAGCGGACGGCAGTGTCCGGCGTGGGAGCTGTAGCCCTTGCAGAAAGCAGCTTGCACTGGCCTGCCATCCAGTAGATAAGGTTGCGTGTCACAGCCATGTGCCGAAGCAGCAGCGACCTTTCCAGGGCACGGGAGCAGGAGCGAGCATCAGGAGCGTTGGACCTTAGCTCCTGGTGCCACCCCGTGCTTTGCAAATCGGGTCTGACGCGTGCCACTCAGCAGAGGCTGCGCCACGGTCCCGCAGCCGTGTTGTGGCAGAGCTTAGGACGAGGGTGCTGAAATCCTGGCCAGAGAAAGGTGTTGGGTCTATGGTCGTTGTCCTGGCCGTAAGCTCAAGCACTGCCAAGGTTTCTCTCTGTAGCAAGAGTCCCTTCTTCTGGAGGAGCTCGTCTCTCTTTGCTTTTCTCTGCTGCTCTGGGAAGCCCCAGCTGCTTGCTCCGGTGGTCCATAAGCTTTTATCCTAAAATTCAATCCCCAAATGCCCGTGCATGGAGTGGGACAGGGGGACTGGACTGCTCAGCACCAAACCTGCCTTCTTGGAGCCTGCTACCAAGAGAGGGGAGCTGAGCCAGGCCCAGCCTTTCCTCAGCCATTTCGGCTGTCCCCATGGTTTGCAGCTGGCTCGGATGCCGTCGTCCCTCGGGCAGCATTCTGGGGTGGAGGGCGGGGGGGGGTGCTGCAGATGTCCCTTGCTTGCTGGCAGCGTGAGGGCTGGGGCTTGAGCTCAGTCCATCACAGGCAAGTGTTGGCGGTGACACCAGCATCCAGCAACAGGTAAGAAGCTGCTAATGTCAACTGCTAAACTTAAGTCACTTAACTGGTTTTATTTGTTTTTACATTAGGATGGAGAAGAAGAATTTAACCGTGCTAAACTGCTGAATATAGGATTCGCAGAGGCCTTGAAAGAGTATGACTATGATTGCTTTGTGTTTAGTGACGTAGACCTCATCCCAATGGATGACAGGAACACCTACAAATGTTACAGCCAGCCACGGCACCTGTCTGTATCCATGGATAAATTTGGATTTAGGTGAGAAGGCTTTTGGAGGGGCATTTTGTTCCTAATATTGCCATTAGTCTTGCAGGCCAGGCACAGCGTTACACATCCCCACCCACCATTGAAAGCATGGGAAAATGTCTCTGGCAAAAGCCTGTCTTGGCATGCACGTCCCTGCAGGGAGGGGGTGGCTGCGAGTGGGATCGGCTGGAGGGGAGGAAGGGGGAGAAATGCAGCTGAGCCATTTATTAAAATTCACAGCTTCTGGAAAGTGAAACGTAGGGCAAGGAAAAGCTAAAGAGCCCGTCGTTTTGCAGATGCCCGCATATCCCTTCTTGTGTTTCAGGCTGCAAGCTGGAAGACAGCTAGTGTTTCCACCCAGTCTGAAAAGTGAGACACTCTCACACAGTGAGAATTATGTGCAGCTTTAAAAAGACTGCATCAGACACTATTTTAAGAGCAAAATGAAATATTTTTGGCTGTTTGATTTTGGGCCACTGAGGGACCTGCCCTGGTATCTGAGAGCAGAACAAAACGAAATGCCTTTCAGCATACATTTGGGTTCAGCAAGCTGCTGTAAACAAAAATGTGTCTTGCTTTTCCTTTCGGGTTTGTTTTTTTGTTTGTTTTTCTATCCCGAATTCCCAAGGGGGAGTTTAAAAGCTCATCTGTAAAGTGAAAACGAGTTGTGACCCCATGGTGGCCAGTAGTGCTAAAGATACAGCAGTGGTGTTGGTGGGATGACCCCTGCGCGTCTCCACTCCAGACCCAAGCCCTGCTCGGAGCAGGACTGTCACCGGCACTACAGCAGCTGCAGTTTTTTCTTGCAGCCAGGTGAAGCTTAGAGGAGAAGTGCAGGCCCCAGGGGTTTCTTCTGCTTGTTGAAGCAGAGACAAGGTTTGCGGTATGGTGATCCCTGTGTGGGCTGGCTTCTCATGCTGTGGGTCTGAATTTCTTGTGTCCCCGATCCCCTGATGAATCATCCCACATTTCAAGTGGGAGCTGGTTGGCTTTGTGCATGCAAGGTCACACTGCCAGCTCAGTTTTGGGCTGCGAGCTGTCCTTTGGGGCACTGGGGAGTGTGGAGGCAAGCAGTAGAGCTGCAGGAAGAGAAGGCTTTGCAGCACCTCCGATGCCTCACTGAGCTCTTGCAGCTCCTGGGACACACACGTCACCCATCTGTCCTTTGGCAAGCTGATGTGCATCTCACTGGCCCGTCCTTTGAAGACAGTGAACTTCTCAGTGAAAGGCTGCAGCTATTGCCTGTTGCAAAATACTTCCCAGCTGTATTGGGGACTGAGCCCACCAGCTCCCTCTACCTCAGCCGAGTCCAGGGCACCAAAACATGTGCTGCTGCCTGCTGCAGGGAGGCACCTTGCAGCAGGTGCTGGCTCTGGGGTGAAGGGTCGTGGCAAGCCCTTTTCGGGTGGGCAGGCTGCACCTCTCCTCCTCTAATGGCCTATTTCTTCCTCCTTCCAGGTTGCCTTACAATCAGTATTTTGGAGGTGTGTCTGCCCTGAGCAAAGAGCAGTTCACAAAGATCAACGGGTTCCCAAACAATTACTGGGGCTGGGGTGGCGAAGATGATGACATTTATAACAGGTAAATAAATACCTCACTTGACACCCAGAGTGCCTCCAGGGTGGGGGTGAGCGCAGACCTGCTGCTCTCGCCCAGGTTGGGGGGGGCACAGGGTGTCTTACCTCCCCGACCACCGGAGCCTCCCCTCTGGGTGGACGACCTGCTGGCTCAGTGAAAGTGTGCTCCTGCTGGGTGCTGGCACCCCATTTCGCAGCTCCCAAGGTGTGCTGGGGAGTAGGTCTGGCTGGAAGAATCCCACCCCTCCCCCACGCAGGCATTGCTTACTCGCCGCGCAGCCTTGCAAACATCCACGCCAGTGCACGGCTTGGAGCAGTGTGCTTCTGGGTCTCCAGGCACTGGCTGAAGGAAGGGGATTCGGGGCACCCTGCGGGGTGGAGAAGACCTTGACCCATCTAGCCCAACGCATCCCGAGGCTTGCCTAGGTCTGCAGCCTGGTAGTGGATCCCTTTGTTCCCAGGAGGGCTTCATTGGTCAGGCTATGAGCCGCCTCTAAATAATGCCCTGAGCTGGCGCTTCCTGCCTGGAAGGAAGCCGAGCAAGGCTCAGAATCGCAGGAGAGGAGGAAGGTGTTTGCACAGGGCAGCCTGGGACCACGCCTGCCTGAAGACCGGGGCAGAGGGTGGACATGGGATTGTGCTACCTTGTGGCTTTTCCCATCCCCAGGGCAGCTGCTGTGAGAAATCATCGTGGGGAGCTCGGATCTGGGGAGCCCACTTCACGTTTCTCAGTGGCAAAACCACTCTGCGTGGTCTTTTCTGGGGGCTTTGCGAGCTCTTCAGGGCTTCAGGAAGGGTCTTCCTAAAAATGCTTGTACCTTCCTGAGGTTCAACACTTCTGTTTAATAAACCAAGCGGGGGACAACCTTCCAGTGGGACAGGGCATTCAGAGCAAGGAGGTAGTCCTCTCTTTTTGGGGCACTCAGGCTTTGAGGAGCAAAAGATGCTATATAGAAATGAAAAGGGAGACGCAAAGAGGAAGAAACCAGGTACTTTTCCAGCATTGGTGTCCATGAACTGCAGGTGCCTTGCAGAGAGTATGCAAATAAAGACAGGCTGCCCCTCACCCAGTGGGTCCCAGCTGGGACCATTGTGGCTCTGACCATGTCCCCCCACCATGCTGCTTCACCACCATTCACTTCAGTTTCTACCAGCACTGCAGCTTTCACATCGTGAAAAATGAATGCTCTTCTGGCTCCTTTCCAGATGGGTTAAAACCTAGATGCCTCCCATTCAAATTCCAGTCTACAGCCTGGAGCAAAGTTAATGTGGGTGTTGGGCACTGTTGGAGCTGGCGGGGCAGGTGAGGGTGCGGTGAATTAGCAGATCCTTGGTGCTGGCAGGCGGATGTCTCTTTCCCCCATGCTGATGTGCTGGCGTGGAAAGGGACTGGCTTTCCCCCCTTCTGGTGTTGGCAAGCCTGCAAACGTGTTATCGATGTCCTCAAAAAAACAAACAAACAAAAAAAAAAGGCAAAACCTCAAAACCCAATGGTAGTTTGTGGAAGGTGTGGCAGTGGCAGAGCATCCCACATCCGTCACCTGTCACAGGTGTTTAATGTACTTGCTTTTTACAGGCTGGTGTTTAAAGGCATGGGGATATCCCGTCCGGATGCCATCATTGGGAAGTGCAGAATGATTCGGCATTCCCGGGACTGGAAGAATGAACCCAACCCTGAGAGGTGCGTCTCCCCCCATCCCACAGCAGATTCAAGGGGTGCCTCCTGCCCTTGCTGCTCCGGCTGCTTGGCTTTCTCTTTGCTGTGCAAAAAGCCCAATTGCAGAAAGCCTGTGGCCATCTCCTCCCTTGCTGACCTCTCTGTTCCCTAAGCTGTAAGCTGCCCCCTTCCCCTCGCCAGTTTTTTGCCTTATTACAGAGCTTTTCCCTAAGATTTCACTATGGCATGAATGCCTCTTATCTTTTTTTCTTAAACGCAGCAAATCAAGCTCTGAGCAATTGTTTCCAGCTTGCCTTTGGTGTATAAAACCTGTGCTCTAGTGCAGGGCTGGAAAGACCTGTGTGATTTGAAAGCTTGGCTGCTTTTTCCTGGCTAAAATTTGATCCCATAGGGATGCCTTTGCCCACTGCTCTGGCTGGCCAAATCTGAATGTTTATGGGACCCCTACTGATACTCAGGTTGTTCTTAAAACACCGGAGATGCCGCCTGACAGGCTATAAAAATGTCATGCAAAGTCGGGTTGTTTAAAGTTTTTGTTTTCCTTTCTTTGTTGTTTTTTTTTTCCTGGTTTTTTTTTTTTCCCCCTTCTGCAGGTTTGACCGAATTGCTCACACAAGGGAGACAATGAGCTCTGACGGTTTAAATACACTATCCTACAAGGTGTTAAGAACTGACAAATACCCCCTGTATACAAAGATCACAGTGGATATTGGCTCACCAAATAGCTAACATCACAGACACAAGAGAGACCTTGCCTATGTTGCCCAGGACATCTGGCCTCACTGATGCTTTATATCTGCTGGTTTTGTAACAGTTGCAATGAACAACAAAAAAAAGACTCTTGGCATGCCAAAGCATCTCCAAATTGTTTGGACAAGTGATTTTTTTCTTTCTTCTTTTTTTTTTTTTAAACTCCAAACTTGACTTTACACAACCTTCTAGCTCTCCATTGTTTTGTAAGTCCAGAAGCTGTACATAGGAGTTGTAAATATTTACTTTGCCAGAAAATGTTGAATCTGATCTATTTGCTGCAGTGCTCTCCATGTTGAATTAATAGTTGGACCCAAATTTCACTGATTACAACTGTGATGCATCAGCAATTACTGCCCATGATATTTGGTATTTTAAATGAGGTGGATGAAAAATTCCTTCTAATTAATTCCTGGTTTTACTTTATGAAGGACTGTAAAATGCTGCTAAAATTGTACAAGTTTACGCTTTGCATTAGATTTTTTTTTTTAAATGGAGACAATATCATACTTTTTTTTCTCATAGTGACCAAAACAAACATCTTCTCTGTGTGCACAGCAAGTGTTGAACAATCAAGTCTGGATTCAATGAATGTCATTATTTCTTTTAGCCTCAAAGGAGGCTTTGAGTGACTTGAGCCAGAGTTTGCCAGAATTTGCCAGTGAGCTCTCTGCAGAGGGTGGGAGCTACGCAGATGGCATCTGCAAAAACCGCTAACTTCAGATAACTTTACTTCTGGATGTGATAGTGACTTTTTGCCTCAGCACAACACCACCTGGGTTTTTTTTGGGGGGGAGAGGGGGGTGATTTTGTTTTTTTTTCCTGAAATAAAGATGAATTAATTTAATTGCACAATGACATTACAGCCTTAAAATTTGCTGACACTTGTTAACAGTGGTAGAAAGTTAACCATGCTATTTAAACATTGTCTGAAGCTTCCTAAACCCAACATTTTTCTTGCAAGGTCATGCTTAAAACTTGAAATTTTAAGTCATTTGTATATCATAAGCAGTATATTTAATACCAGATTAAACTAGGATGCAGCATAATAGGATATGATTCAAGGCCTCCTTTATCTTCAGAGTAGTAGGCTTTTTATGTGCGTCATTATATATAAGCCATGTATTATATTTGCTCTGTGTATTTGTCCATGAAATCTCCTGCGGTGCTGAGATATTCACAGCAGGGCTGACATCCAATTGATTTTTCTTTGCCTAAAGCCTGTTGCAATGTGTGTCCTCTATCGGGAAACTCCCTTCTGATTTTCTCAGGCTTTGAGGAACATGCATGTTTTGGAGTACTGCTTTTTGTCAGTGCACCAGGGCACCACCTGTACAGACACCCTGCTTTTCCTTCCCATGACCGTATGAAAGCCTCAAGCGCTGACACCCTTGGAGCTGGTTTAAGTGATTTAAAGCTCTCAGCCAGAACTGAGAACTGAATTCCTTCTGGTGAGTACTTTGCCACCAGCTCTGACCACAGCAATTTGCACTTCCTTGGCCTGTGCTGAAGGCTGTTAAAATCAGGGACGTTCACTGTATTGGGGATCATCTTCAGCACTGCCTCTTTTTTTTTTTTCCTTGTTTTTTGTGTTTGTTTTGGTTTTTTTGTTGAGACCTGAAGGTTTTGCTGAACCCTTGCACCGCAGGGGTGGGATCCTGCAGGGGCCAGGGGACAGTGCATTTCTTGTTAGGCCAGCATTGGCTCAAAGTATGCACGGAGACTTTAGTTAGGGAGCTGCCTCTTCAGTCTCACTTTTTCAAAGTGTTCACCCCCTTCGCTTAAAAGCTGTTGCTGGCCAGACTTGCTGTTTCAGTCATGCTGGGAGCTGAGCGAAGGTGGGTGTGCATGGAGCAGGAGCAAAGCACAAGGAAGCAGGCTTGTATTTAAGAGCTGCTCTCTTATGCTTATCTTTGCATTAAAAAATTACTCCTTTTCGGCAGGTCAGGCTCCGGCTCTTGCAGATGCAAGGGTGTACAAAAAGAGGATGTGTTACAGAAGTCAGGTCAAATATCTACCTGCAAAACATCGGTGTAGCTGTAGTCTGCACCAGTAATGGAGACACAGGTGAAGACTTTGGTTTTAATTTTTTTATTTTTTCAAAGGTGCCTTAGAAGCAGGGCCCCGCTCCCACAGGTGGCAGATCAGCACCAAAACTCATTGACACTCTGCTGAAAATCCCAGGTCTCTGTTGAGAGTACCTCAATTTTGTGCTGAGCCTTTTGTAAGTTGAAGAGTTACAACCTTCAGCTGTAGTGGTGTCTGTCTGCTAACAGGCTATGCAAAGGGGCTACCTGTTGTAATTGAGTGGTTGGTTTGGGGGGATTTTTTTCCTTGCCTTAGGATTCTCTGAAGATTAGAAAAAAGTTCGTGTAACAACTCATCATTTGGCTATATGCCGAAATCCTTGAGGATCATGGAGGTGGTCTGAGCACTTGTTTCTGGCTGTTGCAATCAAAGGTTTCTACACATGTGCCTTGAAAAAGGAGAGAAATGGAAACTGGAAAACGAGGAAATCTGAAAACCATTTTTGGCAGAGAGACACTAGCAGTGCAAGAAACTGTAGCTTAGTTTCTCTTCTGCTGCTAACACCACAAGCCATGTAAAAGCCGAAGCTGGCTTTCATTGCTTGTTTTGCACTTCGGTGCTGACCCGTGATTTCCAGATCTCATTGTCGCTGTGTAAACTGTATCGGTCAAACTCATGAAACGCTCTTGACTCAATCTGGCCATGAAATTTCTCTCCCCGGGATTTTCGGGGGCCTTTCTTACAAACGCTCGTGTTGCACAGATGTGAATTCTGGCCATGACCTGTGGTGGGTGGTGTTTTTTCCTCTCCTGTACTGGTAGCAACACTCAAAGTGATACTGTGTGTAACGGTTGAAACCCAGAACAAATAGCTGCAAAGGAAACGGTAATGCTTGGTTTCTTTGGGATTACTGTTTGCTTGTGAGGATGAGGGAGGGTCCTGGCATGCAGCTTTTCCCCGGGATGTTACCTGTGTACTGGACTGCTTATGGGTTTCCTGTAGATGGTTTTGCTTTTGCATTTTTATCATTTATATATCATGGGATGTATAATCCAATGTTCCTACTTTACTATTGATGTCAAATAAAGTATTTTCGCTTATGACGTCTGGCAGCATTGCTCTGAATTACCTCTCCGCCTGAGTGAGTTTCTGGCTGATGGGGTGAACTTGGTCATGCCTTAGCCTCCTTACATTAACTTTCTCCAGCTTTTACCCCCTCTGGCTGCCCCCCTGAGTGAATTCCTCTCTCTGCACTGCAAGATTTTTGCCAGCATTAGAGAAACAGATCCAAGAGTCCCCAGATAACACCACAGAACTGTAGGGTGGTTCATTTACCTGTGGGTAGGGGGACAGTATGCAAACCCATCCTGAAACCAGGCAGGGAATGCAAGCCTTCACCCAGGCTGTCGGCTGCTTGGGGGAAACAAGTGACTGCTTGCTCTGTGGCTGCTTGTGGGTTTGGCTAGTGTGGAACTGGAGAAGTCATTCCTGGGAAACTGATGCAAATATTTGCCTGTGTTCCTTGGCACTTTCTCATGAAAACAGTTTCCGTGGAAGAGATCTTTCTGGCTGCAAGACTGTGGCTAAGGCTAGGCAGCTGGCATGAGGTCCCCGGTGCTCTCAAGGGAGAGGTGGGCTTGTTCCCTGGTGGAATCAGTTATCAGCCTTTGGGGCCCAGGCTGGCACAGTGGGCAGGACATCCCCAAGCCCCTGCAGTTGCTTGGAGGCATGCTCTGAAGGGCATGTTGACAGAGGGCTCTGGAAGAGGGCATGGGCCTCTGCCTGTTTAATCCTTCCAGGACTGGTTACTGGGGCACTGGGGACAGTGCAGGAGCATCATTGTATGGAAGCTGCCAGCTGACGGGGTGCAGCAGAGGCCTTGGACAGGGATGCGGTGGGAGAGGGTAAGTGGTCCCTGTGGCATCTTTCATTGACTTTTGGACTCTGAAAGGTGTTGCAGAGGAATCATGGGTGTTTTCTTCTCATGGTTCAAAGTTTGGTATCTACATGCAGAAAAATGGTCCGAGAGAGACCTTCCACTTTCTCCTACTTCTGTCCCCAGAGTATTGAGCAGTTCCTCCCCTCTTCTGCTTGGGTGGGTGAGGAATGGGCAGGAGTCACACAGCTCAGTGGCTAGAAGAAGCCCTGTGTGGAAATTCTGTCCCTTGTTGAAAGCAGTGGCTGAGAAGTATCAATAGGATTTCACCCTTCTCCCCACTGGTTACCAAGGCTTCCCTGGACCACATCAGTATGTGGCTTATTAAGGATCTCTTTACTTTTTAGCTGTGAGACCGTATGTGTTTTAGCAGAGCTTCCTTTCCCATCTCCAGCTCCACCTGCCTGCCCAACGGCGAGGATGGGTGAGCAGAGGTCTCTGACATTTATCCCATATGTTTACCCTGCTACACCTTCCTGTTCTCCAGCCCATGGGAAAAAAAACAACAAAAAAGAGGCTGTTGTTAGAAGGAAGAAAAGGGCTAAGCTGGAGTTTGCTGACCCCTTTCACCCCCTTGGAAGGAGTCTGAAGTGGGTGTGCTTGCCCTTTGCTCTTGCTCTGTGTCTCAGCACAGCAGTGCTGACACTGGATCTGTTCTTATTTGCCTACATCCCATTTGCAGGATGTCTATGCACTTGAGGACGATGCACTCATACAAGACCTCTGTTTTCTGTCTACCCGAGGCAGCAGCCCTGCTCCTGGAGCCTGTTTTCCTTTTGTGCTCTCAGTGTTACTACTAGCAATGCAGATGAGCACACAGAGGCAAGATCTCTGCAGAGTCAGGGGTGACTGAATTCTCAAGCTTGCACCAGACTTCGCAGTGAAAAGCTGAGTGGGTAAAACAAGGTGCTGGGGTTAAGTCCAAAGCCTGGACCTTTGGACTCTTCCTGGTTACCTTCCTGCCCTTCACATGCCTGAAAATGATCTCCAAGAAGTCTTGCTCCATGATCTTTCCAAGGATGGAGGTACTGCTTACAGATTGCTGTTTCCCAGATCCTTCTCCTTGCCCTTCTTAAAGGTGGGCATAATATTAGTCTTTTCAATCAGCCCTTTCCCAGTTGCCATGATATTCCACTGTGACTGACAGCAGCTTCATTCACATCAGCCAGC